GGCCCGCCTGCGCTCCGCGGGCAGCGCACCGCCTGGCCTCGGGGCAGCCCTGGGGCCGGGCTGGGCAGCGTTGGGCTTTGCTATCTCCGAAGGGAGACCGAGGGCACGGGAGGGTGGCGGGAGACAGACCCTGCCTGCGGGGGGCTGGCACGGCAGGAGACACGAGTCGTCCTTCAACTGCTGGTGAGCCCCGTGAAAGCCAGCATGCAGGGCAGAGCCTCCAAAAGGCCCTTGTTGTACCAAAGCGTTCTGGTGGGGAACCGCCTCAGCTGTCTACCATCAGTTTCCCCTTTAGGCCAGGGCTTCCCACCATGCTAAGGGAATGGGGGTTGGCTGAAGAACCCCACCGAGGCGCCAAACCCAAATGTTTTGGGATGCTACAAAAGAAAGCCAGGTTGTACTAGTGCCAGTGGCGTTAAAGGATTATCTTTGAAATTGTGGAGATGAACAAAGCCGGAACACTTTTGTTTAAGGACAAAGCTTGGGATAGCTGGAAAATGCCCAGAAATGCTGAAGACCACCACAGTGGAGCAGGCAGTGTGTGACTGCACATTCCCCGTCAAGAGCAAATGGCAGGATTTTGCACAGGGTCCTGTCATGCTCATAGGCAGCATCTGCAGGCTGGACACAGATTGCTATGGCTGTAAAGGGCTTGACTACTGCAGTATGAGCGTTAACACATAAAGGAAACAGTAGAGGGTGAAGTTGCTGTCCCAAATCTGGACACAGTAGTTCTAGATGGAGTGAAGGACTCAGACCCTGCTCCTTTCCTTAATCTAAGGAGTTCTGCCTATATTCTAGAGCTCATGGCTAGAAGACAGAGACTACCTCCAAGCTCAGATATTTCTCATGAAAAGACAGAGATGTAGAGCGAGACAGAAAAAAACAAACAAAAGTAAAAACACCAAACAACCCCTCAGCTAGAGGGGCAACAATGGAAGATGACCTCTGGAACACATAAACAAGTCTGTCCAGCTCAAGGTCCTGCCTTCAAGAGTGACAAAAAGAAGGTGCCTGAGGAAGAGTATAAGAACTGAGTACATAATACTTCCACCTTGCTCCACCAGGCTGCAAGCATCTGCAGCTCAGAGATTTTTGAGATGTGATCCTCTTTTACTAAGTCACAGAATCACAGAATCGTTTAGGTTGGAAGGGACCTCTGGAGATCAGCTAGTCCAACCTCCCTGCTCCAGCAGGGTCCTCTAGAGCATATTGCCCAGGATCACATCCAGACGGGTTTTGAATATCTCCAGGGAAGGAGACTCC